CCCCGCTCCCTGTCCGCAAGGCTCCCTCCGCTCCTCGAAGACGCGCACCGTGGGGAGCTCCTCCAGCTCCTGGGGGGTGGGCAGCGCCCACCGGTGCTTCCCGGTGAGCGCGGTGAGGAAGCCGTCGTAGTCGACGACGCCGTTGCCCTTGTAGTCCACCTCCGCGGTGGAGCGGGGTCTGAGTCTTCGGCGAGGTGTCCCCGTCGATCCGAGCATTCTCCCTCCATCTCGACTCGCGGGGCCCGTTGCCGGGCGCCGGTGCCCTCGGTGGCGAAAGAGAACAACTGCCCCTGTGCGAAGAATGGCCCCATGGGACCGGGTCGGGAGCTCTGGGGCTGCGCACTGAACAATTCATGTCGGCGGATGTGAAGGGAGGAAGGGTGGGGCGGAAGAGGAGGAGGAGGAGGAGGAGGAGGTCACAGGGAGGGGGAGTGAGCGAGGTGGAGGCGGGAGAAGGGCGTGAGAAGGCAAGAGGAGGATGCGAGAATGAGGGAGGATGCAAAATGCGGTAATGATGGAGGGGAAGGGGTCAGGCGCCGGGAGGATGTTAAGGGGCCCGGGGACACAAAAGGAAATACACACAGATAAAAGGATTCCGAATAGTTTTCAGTATTTTTGAGGTTTTCGTCTTCCCCTCCACTTCCCATATAGTCCTATATTTTCTGAGAATCGACGATGAATTGTGTCTGCGTGTTTTTTTTCCCTCCTGAAGGATGGAGGGAGGGAAGGAGAAAAGGGGGCCGAGCTGGGCGGGCGGGAAGTATACATCCGAGAGCTGCAGCATCCGGCTCCTGTGGGGTATCTGGAGGCCTCCCGGAGGTCAGAGGCTCCCAGAGGGCCAGAGCGGACCAGAATCGGGGGCGCGCAGACACGGATTAGCGATCCATGGACTTGGCGCGCGGCTCCCCGAAGTGCGGCGCCGGTGCCGCCTCGCTCGGCGGCGGCAACCCGCGATTGCCCAGGGAAACGGGACCCGTCGCTAATCCACGCCCCCTTGATCCATGTTCCCAGAGGGCCAGAGCGGACCAAACACACCCGAACACCCGGCTCCTTCTCCTCCCTCCCGAAGTTGTCCAGAGACATCCTCTGTCTGAGCCCCGGGGTCCAGAGCAGCTGCTCACCGATACTGAGGGCACAGGTCTTCGGCCTGGAGCCATTTCTGACTGTCTTGGGGTCCGAATGCGGCGCCTGGAGGCTGAAATTCTGGAAAAACTCCGGGATTGAAGAGTCAGTCCTGCAGGGGTTTCCACCATAGGAGAAAAGGGGGTCGGCACCACCGCCGCCATCGTGAGGAGCCAAGGAGGGTCCTCATGGTGGTGCGGTCCCCCGTTTTGCGGCGCCCAGCTCGGACACCTTCGATCTCCAGCTCTGGGGAGCATCGTGGACCTCCTCGCTCGAGATGGCTGGGCTCGCCGTCAGCGCTGGGTCCCGCTTCTCCTGCGATAAGGAGCTTTTGCTTAGCGTGTCGTGGCGGCGGCCCCAGCGACAGGCCATGCTCTGTGAACGGATAGCTTGCTGCTCCGCTCCGCAGGGCGGGAGGCTGGGAAAGGCTCGGGACGCTGACGATCGGGAACTGTGACGTGTGTAGCGCGCCGCGCCGAGACGCGGTGGGCCAGAACGGGCAGAAGGACACGCTAAGCAAACGTGCCTGACCACATCCCCTACTAGTGTTAAGTCGGGCGTGTCCCCCTACAGGCGGATTTGGGACGAAAAACGAAATATACCCCAAAAATGCTCGAACATAGTCGAAACATCGTCCCCCTACTATTTTTTGACTATCTTTTGAATGTTCCCCCTGTAGAGGGACAGGCCCGACTTAATCCTGGCGTTGCCTTGGTTTTCGGGCCGTTACTCGGACCCCCGGCGGCTGTTCGGGACGATCCCGATACCCCGGCAACGTGCTCGGCGAGGCGCAGCTGCTGGACGGCACACCGAGGCTGGGACCCCGGCGAGGCCTGGCAGGAACGTACGAAGACCTCGAACACCGAACCCGCAACGCTCCTGACCGTCACTTCCTTACACGTCGGTCGGGAGAAGTAGGTAGAAACATGAGGTAGGAAGGCGGATTAAGTGGTTTGGCCCAGGCCCTCCCAGAGAATAACAAAACACAAGAAAAAGGGTGTGGATTCTTGAAGTAGGAAGGTGCTTGACTTAGATTGGGATCTGGGAATCCTAAACTACCTACTTTCAACGACCGGCGTGTATCCTCCTCGTAGACGACTAACCCTGACATGCACCGATGTGACTTTCTAAACGCGCGGCCTCGGAACTCCCGACCCCTGCCCCCGGGCCAATCGTGCGTTCCGGATCAGGATTTGATGGTACTGGGGCCCGATACCGGGCTCGGGAGGCCGAAATCGAAGAAAAAACACCAGGGTTGGACAATTATCATGTCGTGAGCGCCGTCATCGTCCTTGTCCACCTCCTCCTCCTCCTCCTACTCTCTCCACTCTCCTCTCTCTCCTCCTCCTCTCTCTCCTCCTCCTCCTCCTCCTCCTCCTCCTCCTCCTCCTCCTCCTCCTCCTCCTCCTCCTTCTCCTCCTGGTCCTGGCCCTGGTTTTGCTCCTGCACCGGCTCCTCCTCCTCTCCTCCTCCTCCTCCTCCTCCTCCTCCTCCTCCTCATCCTGATCCTCCTCATCCTCTTCTTCCTTCTCCTCCTCCTCCTCCCCTTCCAGCTCCTGCTCCTGCTCCTCTTTCATGTTCCCTCCTCTTGTTCCTCCTCCTCCTCCTCCTCTTTCTCCTCCTTCTCTTGCTCTTTCTCCTCCGCATCCCTCCTCCTGATCCTCATCTTTTTTTTCCTCCTTCTCGTCCTCCTCCTCCTCCTCCTCCTCCTCCTCCTCCTCTTTGCTCCTCTTCGTGCTCCTCTTTCCTTCCCTCCTCCCTCTCTTCCCCCTCCTCCTCCTCCTCCTCCTCCTCCTCCTCCTCCTCCTCCTCCTCCTCCTCCTCCTCCTCCTCCTCCTCCTCCTCCTCCTCCTCCTCCTCCTCCTCCTCCTCCTCCTCCTCCTCCTGCCTCCTCCTCCTCCTCCCTTCCTTCCTTCCTTCCTTCCTTCCTTCCTTCCTCTCTTCCGTCCTTCCGTCCTTCCGTCCTTCCTTCCTCCTCCTTCCTCCTCCCCCTCCTTCTCATCCTCCTCCTCCTCCTCCTCCTCCTCTTTCTCCTCCTCCTCCTCCTCCTCCTCCTCTCGCTCCTCTTCGTGCTCCTCTTTCCTTCCCTCCTCCTCTCTTCCCCTCCTCCCTCCTCCTCCTCCTCCCTCCTCCTCCTCCTCCTCCTCCTCCCTCCTCCTCCTCCTCCTCCTCCTCCTCCCTCCTCCTCCTCCTCCTCCTCCTCCTCCTCCTCCTCCTCCTCCTCCTCCTCCTCCTCCTCCTCCTCCTCCTCCTCCTCCTCCTCCTCCCCTCCCTCCTCGCTCCTCCTCCTCCTCCTCCTCCTCCTCCTCCTCCTCCTCCTCCTCCTCCTCCTCCTTTCCTTCATTCCTTCCTCCCTTCCTTCCTTCCTTCCTTCCTTCCTCCTCCTTCCTCCTCCTCCTCCTTCCTCCTCCTCCTCCTCCTCTTTCTCCTCCTCCTCCTCCTCTTCCTCGTGTGGCCCGCCTCCTTGATCCACGCCTCGGCCTCGGACCTGCAGAGGCCGGGCGCCGAGTCGCCCTTGTTCTGCCTCTGCGAGAAGAAGGCCACGAGGCTGTCGGCGGTGATCAGTCCGTCGCCGTCGTCGTCGAACGCCTCGGGGGTGGGCAGGAGCGGGTGTGGGAGGGCAACAAACCAAGAGGAGGAGGAGGAGGAGGAGGAGGAGGAGGAGGAGGAGGAGGAGGAGGAGGAGGAGGAGGAGGCGGTGGGCCCCAAGAGGTCTCCTCCTCCTCGTCATTTGCCTTCATTTCATCCTCCTCTCTCTCTCTCTCTCTCTCTCTCTCTCTCTTCCTGCCAATGTCGACCTCCTCGCAGCCTGGTTTTGCACGCCGCGAGGCTTGGACGCGTCGGCCACCACCGCTGTCGCTGTCGCCGTCACCCAAGTCGGTGGCCCTGACGAGGGGGTGACGGCGGCAGTGGCAGTGCCGAAACGCGCCCAGAGTCCAGCAAGGCATGAGGGTGCAAACCTGACTTTTCTGGCCGCCGATGCTCTGGGGGGGGGGGTCTGTGCTCAGGGGAGGCTGCAACACCGCTCAACGATGTGCTGTCAACCAATGGGCCCTTTCCATTTTTCTGTGCACTTCAACTTTGGCTTCGGCTTCAACTGCCGATGCGCCGTGAAACGCCTTCGGGCCAGCTCTCCCGAGTCGGATGTTCCGCTTGCACGGGTGCTCCCCTTCCCCCCTCCTTCCTGCCCCACGGGTTCCCCCGCGGGGCTCCGCAGCGGCTGGTGTAACACATGGGCGCTTCCTGAAAGGCAGAGGGCGGCGGTGGTTCGTCGTATGCGTCTTCGACCCTCTTCCCTCCTCCTCCTCCTCCTCCTCCGCCTCCTCTTCCTCCCTCCTTCTCCTCCGCCTCCTCCTCCTCCTTTTCCTCCTCCTCCTCCTCCTCCTGCTGCTCCTCTTCCTCCTCCTCCTCCTCCTCCTCCTCCTCCCCCTCCTCCCTCCTTTTGCTCCTTCCCCCAATTCGCATCCCTGCACACCTCCGACGCGTCGTGCTCTCCTCCGCGCGCGCACGCTGGAGGTCGGTTAGACCCCATCCCTGGGGAAGGCTTTGGTTCAAGGCCGTCTTGTGCGAACGGCTCCCCGCACGGTGAAAAAGGAAACCGGCGGCAAAGACTCCGTCGCCACGTTGCCGAGCCGCTAGGAGGTCTTGGGCGGAGGAAGGGGGCTGTAGAATGTGCCGAAAGCAAAAACATCTGGATGGGAAACGGAGGAACTGTCTGGCCACGGCGAGCCTCGGCCACGAACAGGTTCCACGACCTAGAACGATCCGAACGCCAGCGCTCGTCCTGAGCCCAAAGTGGTCTTTGTTTCAGCATATCGACTGTATGTCTTGATCTCTACTTGGAAAGCGCTGGAAGTCGGGCGGTCCGCCCAGGGCGCCTCGAATGCAATCCTGACCCGGTCCTCGTGTTGCTGCACCTTCGACGCGAGCACCGCCGCGATGAAGGGGGTGTAGTGCAGCTCCTTCGTCGCCGACGGCGGCAAACGATGACAACGGCGACGAACGAAGACGACGACGGACGAAGATGCCAAAGAAAGACCACGACTGCGGACGACGACGAGCATAACGACTGACGAAGACGACGACGGACGGAAGGTGACGGCGGACAGCGACGAACACAACTGTGCCGACCGACGAAAACGACGATGACGACGGGCGGCGACGACGGAAAACGACGACGAGCTCTTGCGAAACGAAGCAGGAGACGGGGCGGGCTGTGCAAAGCTGCTCTCGTGCAAGGCCCGTCGGATCCTGCGATCTTTATCTTTAAGGGCGGAAATGATGAAAAGGCTGGACGCGGCTCTGCGAACTGTTCGGGGCAGTGCCCAAGAGGGGTTCGGGCATTACTTTGTGGAAACTTGCGGGTCCTGGAGTCAATGCTGTCTGGCACCCTTGTGTTTTTCCTCCATGTGTTGTTCGTGGTGTTTTTTGTTGTCCTGGACGACCGTTCACGGCCCGGGATATGGTCCGAAGGAAAGCTCGGATGTGGAGGAAGAGGAGAAGGAGGAAAAGAAAGAGGAGGAAGAGGACAGTGTCATCCACGCGTCGTCAAATCTGAAGGGGCCTTGGGACACACAAATAAATACACACAAATAACAGGATTTACCATATCTTCCAATATTTTCTGGGTTATTGTCTTCCCCCCCACTTCCGATATGTTCCCATATTTTGGGGGGAATCGACGATTCATTGTGTCTGTGTGTTTTTGCTCCCTCCTGAAAATCAGCAGATCACGACTAAATTTCTCACTTCGATTTAGGTTTTGGGGCCATGGCGGATCGATGCGCGCCGACGGGTCCAGCAGAAATGTGGTGTCGAGAGCTCTGGTCGAGACTTGAATCACGCTGCGGCTGTTTCTCTTCGTCGGACGCCTGGGGACAAGGATGCTGATTCGCAGAAGGCATCTATACACCACCACCGTGCCAAGGCAGGGCCATCCTGGGCCGGGTCTATACAGTATGTCTATACACCATCCTGGGGCCCACAATGGCCCTGGCCTGGCACGGTGGTGGTGTATAGATGCCTTCGTCGGATGACGAAGCAACTGCTACTGGGGCATGCTTCAACCAATATCCGTTCGCATCGGGCGGATGGTTGAACGAGACGGCTGCCAAAAGAATCCGCGCTGTCAACGGCCCGTCAAAACCGAACTGAAAGTAGTCCACCACTCATGTTCTCAGACATGTGGACGGTTCCAACGACCCTAAACCAAACAATGCTGGCGCTTCAGGCTTGCCTCCGCCGCCCTCCGCTCACGGAGCCGCCCCCGCTCTGCTCCCGCCGGCCTTCCGCAGAGGACCGAGCGAGCGAGCGAGC